TCTATTTATCTATTTATCTATTTATCTATTTATCTATTTATCTATTTATCTATTTATCTATTTATCTATTTATCTATTTATCTATTTATCTATTTGTCTATTTATCTATTTTGTTTTTAGTATAAGTAAAAGTAATTTATAATAAAAAAAATACCAGCAATATAATTACTAAAAGGGGTAATATATAAAATTATATTAGAAGAAAATAGTAGGTACACCTTTTAAAAACTATAGATAATACTCTTAGTAGTAATTACAATTAGGGAGGGATAAACGCATACCCCCTCTTTTAGCGCTTCACCACCTTCTAATTGGCTTAGAGCAGTGCAGAGCTTCCTCCGGGTATTTACCTTTACATCTCTCTATATTATTATTATATTCTATTGGGCCGGTGTAGCACCCGTTAGGGTCCATGTATGCAGAATATATACTTACATGCAGAATACATGGTTACGTGCAGAATATAGTCACTGCAAAATATTTAATCATATACAGAATATATTATTATTATATTCTATTAGGCCGGTGTAGCTCCCGTTAGGGTCCATGCGGCAGTGCTATCTAGGTTTTATTTACAAGGGGAAACCGTTCGTCTACAACGTTCGGGTGAAAACCTCGTTTTCTGCAGTGTGTAACGCCTTGCGTTCTTCTTGGTTCATACGCGGCTGCGGGGGACACGTGGCAGCTCTGTGAGCGTCGCCACGGAGTAAGCCATCTTGATGCGTTCTCCAGGATCGATCCGGGTTTTTCGTAAGGCCTAGGTTCCAGGGCGGTACAAATTCCGGGCTATTGGTACCAGTTGTATTTGTATCTGTCTGCTATATACAAGATAGGTCCAATATGCCCTCCTGCCAGGGCCTACCCCAGGCCGCCCTTCCTACGACGACCTGCATACAATCCTGATTTGCTCCTTAAGCCTACATCACAAGTTGTTGCTTGTGTACAATAGTAGACCGACACGCGCATCCGTCCTTTCAGGCTGTATAGACAGTGTCACCAGCGAGGTGTTGATCCTCCTCCCTATGCCATGGCCACCAGCCATTGCGAGTCCACCGGGCGTCCGTAGAGACCCGGAGCTGACTGTCGCTGCCATGATACACCACGCCCCACGGATGCTACCACATCCCTTTCGCGTTGCCTGTGACGCTCTCGCGACAACAGGCCGACCGTGTCTTGCAGACGGAGGTCGTTACCTATAATAACTCGACGCCGCGCAGCTATTATCCCTTGCCGTCCACTAACCAAACTGTCTGATCCTTGCTCTTACGCCTATCGGCTCCTAGATCCTGGCTCCAGTAATGGCGTTGTCCGTCCAGTAATGGTGTCGTCGTCCGGGTGTCGTTTCGTCCAGAGGCGTAAGCGCGACCGCGGCGGTACAGAGGTGTCCTGTCGTTCTAATAGATCGGTCCTATCGCTCCTACCAGCAAATACAGGCGCTGGCATGACCCTGGGGTGGAATGGCCTGCCCAGGTAGTAGAATTTCGGATGGTTTTGACCTTAATCCTCTGTTTGAGTAACGTAGATTCTCGAAAGTGTTGCCAAGACTTCCGTGAAAACTCTGCCTCTCGAGCGGCGTCAAGGACGACGTCTTCAAGGACGTCCTCTAGCCACGCCGCAGCGCTGCACTCGTAGAGAACGTGATCCTCATTCTCAAGCGGACCGTACGGTTCGAATGAGACGGAACCGAACCCCCGTACAACAATACGGGTCGGATCACGATGTTGGTGTTCGGTTCCATCTCTCTATATATAGCCGCATTTAGGAAAAGTATTCGGGATTACTAAGCGAGTTAAGCGAGCGAATCGGAGGCTACGGAGTAGCCCTCTAAGCTAATTAGAAGGCGGTGAAACAACAGGGGGTTAAAAGGGGCAGTATACGTGGAGCAATTAGGGGGTGTGTATTTATCCCTCCCCTTATAATTTATAGAATATAGACTTTATAAGGTAACTAAGAATTCTACTATATAGAAGTGCCTTTTTTTTTTTACTTCTACTTATTATATCTACTTCTACTTATTATATCTACTTCTATTTATTATATCTACTTTTACTTATTATATCTACTTCTACTTATTATATCTACTTCTACTTATTATATCTACTTCTACTTTTATATACTTCTAAGTTATTATTCCTAGTATAGGGGCTAAATAGTTAAAACTCTTAGCTTTATACTATAATATTTTTTTTAACTAGTATATAAGTATATACCTAAGCTATAGGTTTTTATATTATAAGATTTATAATAGTATAAGCGTTATATCCTTATATAAAAAAAACACGATGCAATCGACCCTATAGCATCTTGGAAATACAACCCAAGGAGGGCCCCTAGGGGCTATCCAAGGCCCTGCGAACAATTGTACGCAGCCTCAAAGCCCTACGAGTAGTGCCGGCGGCGTCGCGGTAGGTACACCGCGAATTGCGACCCCTAACGCGCAGCCGCCCCAGCAACACCATTAACAACAACAACAACAACAACAACAACAACAACGCCAAAACCAACAACAACGCCAAAACCAACACCAAAACCCGAAGCCCATCAAGAACGTCCACCAGGACGTCCAAGACCTCGTCAACGAAGCACACGGCATACAAGACCTCCTGCGGAATAAGCCAATCCAATCCCTCGAGATGAATGCGATCGTCCAAACCCTCTACGACTTTGCAGGACGCGTCCTGTTCGGCCTCTCGGATACCGCGATCGACCTACGGCAGACACCATGGAAAAAGCTGATAAAGATGATGGAGGACACGAAAAAGGAGGCACACGCGTTGTCAACGCACGGGAAGACGTATGCCGCAGCAGCAGCAGCAGCAGCAGCAGCAGGCACAACACCATCAGCCATGCTAAGCGGCATGGCTGCGCAATACGGGAAGGCAGCAGGAAATAGGCAGTATGCAGGGCAACCTACAAATGTCCATGAAATCACCATCTATATTGAGGATAACAACGAGCGAACCACAACCGCAGCAGATACAAATATAACTATCACCCAGAAGCTTTAAGCAGCCGGACCACCGGACACAATAAAGATTAGCGGCATAAGGAAGCTATAGAGTGGAGATGTTAAGGCATACGTTGCGGATAAGGCTACAAAGAAAGCACTGCTTAAGAAGAGGGAATAGGTGCAGGTGCTGGGCAAGACGGCACGCATATAACTGCCCGCAGTGCTAATAGAGGTGTATAGAGTACCTAAGAACTCGGACCTAGAAAGCTAAATACTTAAAAATAATATTATTAGGGCTAACGCAATAATTAACCTAGGCCTAGTTATTAAGAAAATAATATAGAAGAATAAAAAGGGTATAAAAGCTGCGTAAGAAAACCTAGGCTAATATACTAGCTTAATTATTACTAGTATATATATAAAAGCAATAGTAGATAAAGCTATTATAAAAGGATTTATAATAAGTAGATAATTACTAATAGCCTTAAAATATAAAGTAGGCTTTATAGCTATATAGTGCTTTAAATGCCAGGGCTATAGGTATATTATAAAATACTATAAGAAGGATATCTAATATATAGTATATACAGGGGAATATAATATAAAATAATATACGGTAATAGATACTAAAAAGTGCGCTAACTATAAAAGAAACCACCCGGTATATAGTGCTAAATATAGCGTAAGGAAAGGGGCCTAGCTATAGGCTATATTAAAAAGGTAGGCAATACTATACTAATATAATACTAATAAGAGGCCGAGCTTATATACGCTTTAGGCCCCGCTAAGGGTATATATAACTTTAACCTAGTCTAGGAAAAAAAAAGCTGCTAATAATAATATATATAAAGGTAGTATAGAACTAGGGCCAGCGCTAATAGTACTAAAAAAAATAGAATACCCGAAAATATTTAAGTATTTTAATAAGAACCTAAGCTAGCTAAAAATTAATAGAATAATACAGACTGCTTATTTAATACAGCAATTTTCCTATTTAACGCCTTTTTAAATACTATATACTTTTTACTTTATATTACTATTTTTACAGCCTTTAACCTAGTTAACTTAATTAATAATATATAAAAATATAGATAGACTTTTATAACTTAAAACTATTACCTAAGTGCTATTTTTATAGAAAAATAATATAAGCTAGTAACTATGCGCTAAAACGGGTGTAGTAAACGCTGTAGATACTATAAATATAGTTTAATATTAGAATAACCTAGTATACTTACTATTATATAGTATAATATTAATAAAAGCCGCAAAATCTAGAAAAAGTTCCTAGAAAAAGCGGAGAAAGCCTAGCTTTAACCGCTAGTGCTAGCAATATAAAAGCTATAGAAGAATATATAGTAATAAAAGTATATAACACTTTATATAAAGTTCTATTACTTTTTATATAGAAAAAGCCTATATATAAAAACGTGTATATATATTAATAAAAACCTTAATATTAACTAGTAGTTAGTAGAGCACTATTTACTAGACCTTATTACCCTTTCTTTCTATACTAATAGAGAGAATATCTAAATTTATAATATTTATAACCCGAAACTAAATAGAATTATAGCTATACTACCTCTACTACTAAATAATAATAACGCGGAGCACGTTTTTATAGGTAATATAAACCTATATTACCTATTATAGAAAGGAATATAAGTAATAAATATAGAAAAGTAAGCAGAGGAGCTTATCCGCATTATAATAGAAGTAGGAATAGACCTAGCTATAGAAAAAGGTATAGAAATATAGGCGAAAGGAATATTATAGTCTATAATTAACCTTATATTTATAATAGAATAGCTAATAAAACGAACTACTTTCTATATAGTATAAAAGGAATAGAACTATAATTTAAATTACCGCCTTATATATATAGAGTTTAATATTACCCTACTAAGTATAGTAGAATAGCTATAATATTAGCTATAGAAGAATACTAACTAAAAAAAGGCGTAGAAGCACCTTTAAACCTAGCTAGATAAGCTAAATAACTAGAATAACTTTTAAAATACGGAGGAGAACTTTACACGCCTTTTCTATAAATATATATAGGCCACGATTGCTGCTATAGTGCCTATTATAAGGCTATTAAAATAGGTATTGCTAGTATAGTTAGAAAAATACTTAGAGAAAGTATATAAAACTAGAAGAGCGTATAGAATATAGCGCTTATTATAATTTATAGAGAACTAAATATTATACTATATTTAGTATAACCGTAAAAAAAAAACTATATAGAGGGAAAGCACTAAGGCGTGGCGCTATATAGTAGAAAAAGTAATAAAAAACCTAAAAAGTATATAAAAGCTAGCTAATTAGGGCTATATAGCTAGTAAGGAATTAAAACCTCTACCTTAATTTCCCCTTTTTTTAAAACCTAAGAACTCTACTCTATATATAAATAATAAAATAAAAGTATATATACTAGTAGAGTAGTTCTTTCCGCCTCCGGCTAATATAGACTTATCTAACCTAAAAAGGTTCTAATACCCGGAACTATATAATACTACGCTAGATATTATAATTAAGGATATTTTTTTTAGCGCTAATAGGAACTGCCCTAGATAAAGCCCCGGGTATTATAGGGATTACTAATAGGTTTCTTAAAAAGTGCGAAATATAGCTAGCGCCTATACTAGCTTAGTTTTTTATAAAGTGCCTATATAAAAAATACTATCCTTAGCCGTTTAAAAATTCTATTATAGTAGTGCTATATAAGCCTAAAAAAGCGTTTTATATAATAGCAAAAGCCTATAGGCTAATCGCCCTGCTAGAAATAATAGGTAAGCTATTTAAACGGATTATAGCTATGCGGCTACCGAAAATTGCGGAAGAAAAGAACATACTTTTACCTAGTTAAATAGGGGCACGACTAGGACGTTTAATATAAATAGTACTTAAGCTTCTTACTAAATAAATCCACGCTATATAGAAAGGAAATCTATAGCTTATAGTATTACTTTTTAGCCTAAATATATTAGGGGCGTTTAACCGTATATTATATAAATATATAATACACAACCTATAGATTTAATAAGTGCCGGAGTAAATAGTTAGGTTTATAAGGTTTTTTCTATAGGACCGTACTATAAGGCTTACTATCGGAAACTTTATAGCGGAACCTATTGCAGTTACTATAGAAATACTATAGAGCTCCTTTCTATTACTAATACTCTTTTTTTTCTTTACTAGTATACTTCTACTAATACTATAGCGCGGTAATACAACGGCTTATAGGTTTATTAATAATATAAATATTTTTATATATAGCAAAAGTATAGAAGAAAACTATAGGGCTATTAAACAGGTGTATAACCGGTATATAGAGTAGGTAAAAAAGTATAGAGCAGTTTTTACGCTAGATAAATACTACCTAATATACTTTATAAAAGCCTATAAGTTTATTAACGTAAAAGCTATAGTTAATATATAGGGCTTTACTAAAGGCTTTATAATAGACCTAAAAATACTAGAAGTTTAAGTAGATTTTAAACTTAAATAGGGCTTATATATTAATACTATAAAGAATAAAGCTATAGCCTAGATAGAGGCCCTTATAAGGCTTATAGTATTAACCTAGGGTATAAGCTTCCGGAAGGCACGTATAATATACTTAGCGGTTATTAGGCCTGCTATTATATATAAATACACCTTCTAGTATACTATACTAGGTATAAAAAAGCAGATTAGTAAGATAAAAATTAAGCAGCTTAAAATAGTATAGAACTAGTGCTTTTATACTATTTTAGGGGTATATAAAACAATAAATATTAGGGTAATAAAGTATAAAATATTATGCCCTTTACTCCGGCTAAAGCTAGAGGAACTTATAGTGGCCTACGCGGACTATATATATAAAGGGCTAGCCCATAAGTATATTAAAACCTAATGCAGCCGTATAAAAGAAACGGTCCGTGCTAAATATAGGCCGAAAGAAATACTATAGTACGGCCTAAGCAGGCGCAATAAACTTTATAAGCTTGCGGCGAAGGTATTATAGCTAGCCGCATAATATAAAGGCGAATCGGAAGAATTCTATAGGCGTATAAAGCGTAGTATAATCCAGGATAAATATAAAAAGAAGTAGAAGAAGGAATAGAAAGCCTACTATAAAGAACTACGCTAAAAACCTTTAATACTAGCACTTAATACTAAATAAAGCAAATAATAAAAGGCACTATATAAAGAACTTATAAAAGTAAAAAGTATAATTATTATAAACCTACGAATAGAGTATATAGGGCTTAATAGTTACCTCTACTATATAAAAGTGCCCGGCCACCTAACGCCGGCATACCCTTGCAGGTATAGCCTCTAATTCCTAAAATATATTATAATAAGTTGCGGAAGATATATTAAGGGCAGAGGTAAGCTATTCTAGAAAGCTAAAATAAGGACGTATAAATAGCTCTATAGAAGCTAGAAAAAAAAAAGGCCGTGGCCTAATAGCTTTTCTAAAGAACAGACCTTCTACTATACCTTTTAGTAGCTAGAAAAATAGCAGAAGTAAAAATATAGGTATTTTACCTTCTATAACTTTATATAACTATATATACTACGTATACTATATATACTACGTATACTATATATACTACGTATACTATATATACTATATATACTGCGTATACTATATATACTATATATACTATATATACTGCGTATACTATATATACTATACTGCCTATATTACGCACCTATCTAATAGCTATATCTACCTATATACTATAGCCTTTATATATATTATAGTTTATATAGCACTACCCCCTATATATATTATTTAATTTAAGAACTAACGCCTTAATAAAGGGCACGCGTACGAAACAACAGTATATATGCCCTTACGCTAATCCTAAACCAGCTTACTACTCCGGAATTAACTTAACCCGCGCCTAGGAGAATAACTATAAAACC